TTGGCTGGACGCCTAGAAGCAGGGTTCTTCATTTTTTTTGTGGCATGATAAGAAAGTGACAGAATGTTGGAAATTCAAAGGGGTGAAAAAATCAATTCCGAGGGCTCAAGTTAGTCTAAAAATCAAAATCTATGTTTTAACCAAGAGTGAATGTATCGTGAGGATTAGTGGTGTCAAAAACAAAAGATGACAATGGCAAGAAGATAGTAGGGGAGATGAATTATTTATGTCAGTATCTGTGTGGAGGCAAAATAGAATATAAAGGAGCAAGTTGTATAAATTTTAACATATATGACACGAAAGATAGCCTTATATAGTAAAGCAATTTAGAAATGTCGATAATTAGTAACAAACAATCAAAGTGAGTACGGTATGTGATACATACATAAACTGAAAGTCCGTATTAGTAAAAATTGGGAGGTGCAGAGATAAGTAGTTTAAAAGATTATTACCGTCTAAGATTATTATGCTGCTTCATGAACAAATATATGAAACAGCTTTTTGGAAAAAAATAATGTCCAAAAAAACTATGACAAACTCACCGAATTGGACAGGTAATTTCGGAAATTAAGTGATTTATAGTATCCAAATCTGATTTAAATGATAGTTCATAAAATAGTGAATACAGTCCTTTAACATACACGGTTATATATATTTCTTGATATTAGGTAGAGGTTTGAATAGATCCTGTAGATACATAAAGTACGTGGATTAAATCATCCAAATACGATATAACCATATATTCCTTAAGGAACAGAATACAGATATGAAATGCAAATCTTCGTCAAACATGATTATATATGGTTTCAAAATGACAGAGCATAGTTTGATCGTATAGCCAAAATGAATATATGTAATTATATGATTATGAATTATTGTATGAATATGATCATAAACTCAGATCTTATCATATGGCATGAAATTCACACTTTATATGTTAATAGTTAAGGACTGAGTTATCTTCCATAGTTGCAAGAAAAAAATAATCCATCCAGCTCTGCGAGAATCCTAGAAAAATAAAACTAAAGGCCTCGGCCTGAAAGTAACGTCCAATCCGATCAATCCGAATATTTTATCCTGTTAGATTTCACCAAGAGTCCATGACATACGTACCAATTGTATGTTGTCACTATATAAATTCAAGGTAATACCCAACATACCATGTTCAGCTGAAAAAAATGTTTACCCTTACCATGCATAATAGGCCCTTTTTAGATGGAAAGTTTAGGACAATATAAGCACTGAAATCCACCGTCCTCAAGATGAACGATCTTATAAGCAAGTTATTAAAGCACAAAAGTTACATTGAATACGTACATACGAGAAGCTGGAATTTTGGTTACCCTAATTCTGAAAGTTCATAGTGGCAAATAAATCCCCGGAATAAATAGTTCTGTAGGTTTTCAACATTTATGCTGAACTAATTAGTTGCACCATAGCTGAAGGACCTTGGTTACGCATCCGAGCCAGATCACAAGTGGGTGTGCTGTGCAACGTGTCTCTTGCACGTAAAAGCCAGCTCAGACTAAACTCTTCGAACAAGTTGAGAGCCATCCCACACATATCTCCGAACTCATTCATTCCTGACCTCCGATTTGACTGGTTGGTAATCTTCGATTATAAACGTGTTGTGGACAAAGATATTGGCTAATACTGGATATCTGTGGCATCTTTATCAAACCACTCAGTGATACTTATCATAATTCCTTTAAAATATTTTGGCTGCGAATTTCGTTTAATTTTTTTACCCGTAATAATAAAGAGTTGTACAGTTACGTTGTCCGATTCAGAGATGTTCGACCCACACACCCGTATATTCATTTTAGGATATAATATCTAGCAGAGTATGTGATCGTCAGTTGCATTAACTCAGTTTTGTTGTATAATTTATACCCAGTGGCGCGATTAAGTCAGATGCTTTGCATGTCAATCCATATAATATCCAGTTGGCCGTCCAGTTATCTCTTTATGGGCCATATTTTATTGATATAATGATCCATTAACATTTGAGAAATGTTGACAAGACGCTTTGGAGAATTCGTATACGTTACAGAATAGACTTGAATTGTAAGATATTGGCTTCACGTCATATACTGTAGATTTTCAGTGTTACCTCCCCTCTAATATAGTTTTTAGTGTGGTGTCGAGTAGCGTTTGACTATGAACACCACTAAAAGATGACTACGTGCCAGTTAACCGATAAAATCCCCCGTAAGCCAAATATCAGAAGGCAGTTGATGGCTGTAGTGGTGATGTATTTGTTGGCGATCTCGTGGTATCGAGAGGATACCGAGACCGTGCCAAAGGAGTACAAGCGTAGTTACCGAGCGTAACCAAACCCATGCAAGGTCAAAATCAATGGAATAGTAATAATATGGCTGTCTTGAGCACAGTTAAACAAACGAACACAGCAAAAATATCTCTGGTACAATTGGTTATAATAATGTTTGTTTCCGTTAAATCTCGTTCCCTTGTTAAAAGTAGGTCACTACAAGTTGTTGGTGATTCTATTGTGTCCCAGTATAAATCCAAATAAATCATAAAGAGATCTAATTCAGGTGTTAATTTGGCACGACTATCAAGATAGCTAAGGTTTCTATACCACTGAATTTATTCGATCGCTTTAACATCTCATTTTCTTGCGCCAGTATCCCCGCATTATTGCCTTCTTCATGGTTTGCACTGTGTGGGTCTTACAGATATTGGTTGGAGCTCAGGACCAGTGAGAATATCTGACAAAAAACAGTTGTAGTTGAAGTCATTCCAATATCATTGTCAGTGGGTGAAATCGTTGCAATTTTTCGAGGAACAGACTCCTATGTCATTGTCCGTTTACTGGTCCTGATTCGAAAATTGGGACACCTAGTTACACTGTATTTCATTCTTCATGAGGACATGGATACCTCATCTGCGGTAACTACTATTATTTCGGTTCATTTGTGTCCAATTATTCCTGTTATACTACGACTCTCATTAGCGCTACTGTACGCGATCAATTCAATTACTTAAATGTACTTTTGAAAGCATTCGTACTAGAGTTGTAGACTAAATCCATTCTTCCTCGATCTTAGAGATAAGGATGAGAAACGTAACAAATGTTTCCCTAAAGAGACTTTATTCTTGGTTCAAAACATATGTCCATGAAGTCTCATCTTGTTTTTAAATATCTTGAAATATTGGACATGAACATGTTAGCAGCGATATAATAAATTTTCCTCAGTGTTTCGTCAATGACTCCAGCTGAAAGGATTGGTCATCAGTAATGAAATAGAGTCCCCTCAACAAGTTTGTTGAATACATTTTCGCCCGACTGCCAGATAATTTCAGAAGGCATTTTAATCGTTTTTTAGTATTATCAACTGTAGGCGGACTTAACATTTGTGCTTTCACTTGCACGATGACTACAAATTCCGTGTGATGCTTGACATAAGCTCTTAGTCAAATCAATCTTAATTCGTGAAAAAAAGTAACGACTGATCGGAAGAAACTAACTCTGATTCAGTTTAAAGCTGGAGGAGTATACAAAGAGGGACACTCGGCTCCGCACTCTGTGGTCATTTACGTCAATTTCTATCACCACTTCAGAAGCTTTTTTCGTCACCAGGAGCACGCGCCGAATGTGGACAGATTGCACATTACAGGCCTTTAAAGAGTGGAAATACAAGCATGAGCTATTTAAAACTTTGTGTCTCCATACAACATATTAGGTAGTGAGAGCGCTCTCAGAAAGTAATCTGACCAGGCCATGGCCTGTGATATTTCCCTTCATAAGTCTTAAAATAGTTCCTCAGAAGGTTTGCCGTAGAGATTAGAATGAACATCGATAGCGAACAACATGTTGGAAAATCGTATCCCTGGGTTTTCTTTGAGAATAAAGGAATATAGATGGCATTCATTTGCGCTGATGTTTTAAACGGACAATTTTGAAGATCTGAGGGAGAGATAGACGGACGTAATAACACTAGACAAACTATCTAAATTATCACATGAATCTCTTATGCGGCGTGTCCGAGAAGCGATATAACCATGATTCCTGAGCATGTGCTGTTAGAAAATAGTGTCCGTCAAAACTTAGATCAGAATCAATATTCTACTTTTCAAAGATCTGTTTGTTACGAGAATTTATTTATAATATATATCTAAGTCACTCTTCAGTACATTGCACTGAACAGAAACTAAGATGCTACGCAGAACTTTATGTAAATCACTCAGCCGCCAAGCCAGTTGGAGTAAAAATACAGATTTTTAACACTGTCACTTAATTCTATTCTTTGCTTGTGTTTGGTCTTCCATTTTTCGAACGATCCCTATTTGTTTTTGTTTTATTCCCATTAAAGATGGCACAGGTATTCAGTGTTTGACAACGCTTTAACCAGTAACACCCTCTAATATAACTAGTACCCACCAAGAGAAATCAAAACACAGAATCGAGGAGATTGGAAGATATATTTGATGACTACCAATATATCGAGAATCATCTTACAAATCTGGCTAGCGGTTGCAGTAGATGTTCGGCACGGCGTTCCCACACGTGATCTGATGAGGATGCACGACCAAGCGCCTTCAGCTAGGTGAGTCCATTAAAACGTGTGGTCAGCATCCAATGTCGAAAACTTACAGAGCTATTTATTTTGGGGATTTATTTACCGACACACCATTGTTTCGCCTTACTTCACAGGTCAGTAATGTAACCAACTAATGATCACCGTCAGTTTAAAACCTTTAGTAAACCCAACCAAGCAAACGAATGAATTGTGAGTCATTAATCATTTAATTAATAGTCGGTAAATAATATATATCCTAATAAACAAATCAAATTTAAGGAAACTTAAGTTTAGCAGCTAGATAGACTAACTCGAGGTTCGTCAGAGGGTAGATTTGCTTTCCAACAATGAAAAAAGTGAGAAGAATACCATAGCTTCCGTAAAATGATCATCGCAACTTTAAAAAGTCTATCTATTGAATTACTGAATAATACGTCGCAGGCGGGTGATCAACTCAGATGAACACTTTATTTTAAAGCGGGCTGTTTATAGCTTTTTGCCGTGGTTCCCAGTAGGTTATGACACGTAGATCATTTTGTGTTCACTTTATCGTCGAAAATTGTATTACCGTGGTTTTGGTGTGGAACACTTAACATGCTTTTAGCTCCACGATTTTTACTAGTTATTCCACTATATTAAACAAGTGACACGGTGGTGATCAATGTTTGCTTGGCGAGCCTGTGATTACATTCTGGTTCATAGCAAGAGAAATAAAGGAAAACAGTAGTAGAGCAGTGGAACTACTCATTACGTGGACCACTGTTCCTGGTCGGCAAGACACGTGCCATTATTATCCAACTGATTCGTTTGGTGTCTCAGATCGTAGTGCGTAAATATAAAGCTAATTACTATGTTGCACAACTGGATTCAGTTAATTGCTCTCCAGTGGCGTCAGTCAAATCTGAAATTTTACCGAGTTAGCTACAAGACGGTTTAAACCGATTTGCGACGTTTACGATCATCTAAATGTTTTCCCGTGCGAAAGAAACGGATTTCTGAACCATATACAAAGGTTTCTTATCTGTCATCGTCTTATTTTATAGTTAGTTTGCCGACTAATATTAATGACTAAGGTCCCAGGTTTTCATTGTTTCGTTGCATGTACATACTTCAGCATTGCTTAACCTTAACATCATTGGAAATACAACATTTTACGATCGCGCAACAACGCTCCTTTAGTTTCGTGATTTCATTGATTTTGTCTACTTACTTTTTAAACGATGTCATACTAGCTTCTTAAGCAGTAGCCACAAGCTTAAATCATTCTAGTGTCAATCGATGTCAAATGTTTGAACCTCTCCATTTGGTTTCGGTGGCCAGGTAGTACTACTAGTCTTTACATATACTGCGTTTTGGAGGCCGAGTGCAAAAAAGTATATTCAGTAGTTATATTGGCATATCTATTTATAAAGCAAAATGGACTGCTAGTGCTTGCATGGTTTACTGTTAGAGTTACCTTGAAAGTGAACTTTGTCTGAACAATGTTGGCTTCATAGTTATATGCTGTTAATTAATTCACATTTCTAACTTGTCTATCTATTTTGACCATTGAGGCGTAAAAATAAGCGTCTTATAATTACCTACAAGTATTACGCTCCTAACACTACATAAAAGCTGTTTTTCACAACTCTCGTGTTATCCTAATTTTCAATGATAACCATCCATTGAATATACATGTGAAAAAGTATCAGTGAACTTTACCCAGCTTTTTAAGCCTCAAAAAATATTAAGTCGTGCCTTGTCCTTTAAATGGTTCTTTATGGATGTATAAATCGTCTCTTGAGAAACAGTTTTGTCAACCAGATGTGTAAACCCCTCCCAGCTTTACATGGTTCACTGTAGCTGCAGTTACGTAGTTCTAACTTCACTAAGGTAGTTAGGGATCAAAAGTCTTTCTTGTCGAATAGGCTCGTCTAACTGAATAAATCAATCATGTATCCTCAATTTACTGATTATTCTGATGCTTGAATACGTTGTATCACTCACAGTGTCTTCCTTAATCATCGAATAGTTGTTCAGTAACCTTTGAATCGTATATTCTCTCAGTTAAATTTGCAGGCTTCTTTTACTGAACTAATCTACGGTTGATGAATTTCTTACCAATCATGGAACGAGAAAATATTCTCATATCATTTGTTAAGGGTGTATTTGTCAAAAAAATCATTGATTTTTAGCCTAAGCTTTGTTATTGTGGTAGGATCCCAATGCAGAACGTTACGATTAATTTTCTCTAGTTTATAATAATTCAGATTATTTATTGACCTAGTTGTAATAATTTTACTTCTCATAATTAAAATGATTCATGTGATTAAACTATACCAATGGGACCACATCCAGTATGTATATGCTCTGCATATTTGGCAAAGTAGCTGCTTAAATATTTAACAGTCATCTAACATTCAGTCCATAGATTAGATTTCCAAATAACAACGTTTTGGTCGACTTGTCTATTTCTTATCTTCTTTTTCAATGTGTTATTAGATATGTCATTTAACAATTAAGACTTTTCGAGTCCTAATTTTCTTGAGGTTAAGTGGTTTTCGTCTTCGTTTTGTGTCTTGGTTTAGATACTTACAAATGGACTTTTTGAATTGGCTCAGTGGGTGGAAAAAAGATTCTAACGATGATAGTCAGTTAGACTTCTCGTTCCTATTTCCTGTCACCATTGGAGTCGGATCAATAGTCATTGTCTTGTTGCCCGCTACCGGAATGAGTTATTCGATTTAAAATCGACTATGTTCCGAAATACAAAGGATGAAAACGTTTCTTCACGTCGTGGCAACTCCTATTCCAATTTCAGGAAGAAGCCAAAGCATTCCAACAAATCTGAATCAAATGCTACTCAAATTCGAAAAACGGAAGTTTCACAACCACTTGTAGTCGAGACAATAGCTCCAGCCTTACCTGTCCAACAAACGGAATGCGCATCAGTTCAGCCTATTCAAATTAAACAAGAAACAGTCAGCGAGGCAACAGATGGAATTGAGGCTGAGTTCTTTAACCCCGTTCAAAAGAAGCAGAAAAAGTCCAAGCGTTCATCTAAAACGAAAGACGCACTAAAACATGGTTTGAATGAACAAACTGAGATCGATCCAGCATGGGTTACGGTCACTTCAAAAAAGGTAAAACTTTCCAGCCGAAATACTCAAAAGAAAAAGAACGTGGATAGCGAAGGTAAACGCATGTCGAATTTTACACTTTATCCAATTATTGTTGTCAATTGTTTATATGACTTAATAAGGTAGTTTTTATTAATTTATATCGGATCGATTAATAAGAAGCTGAGATTTCCAATCTATCTTGTCATATTGCATGTTTATCGTTTTACAACTTCATCCTGTCAAATGCACTTTCTCATTTCCATTTTCCATACAGCAAACAAAAACAACATTTGTGGCTTAATCGGCTTTAACCAATTAATTTCCGACTAGCATATTGTGTTTTTTCAAGCCATTACTTGCTAAGTAGGGAAAAACAGCAAAATTATTGTCCCCCACTACTGTAAAATCAATTATTTCTATACTATATTTGGTGTTTTCCTAGTGAAACTGCTAAAATTCTAGTAACGGTCTCAAGGACAGGAATAAATAGCATTCTCGCTATTATTGGAAAGTACTATAGATAAATTACTATTTTGTGGTAATCAAAGTACCAGAGATTGTTCAAGTTTAAACGGGAATACGTATAAAAATACCTAGTGAAACTCCTAGTTATCAAATTCGCCTGTTAAATATACAAGAAAATGATGTTTTTGTGAAATTCTATCCCCGTAGAAAAAAGCTCTCAATTCATTCTGTTTTTACGTGGAAGAAAGTTTCTGAGTGCACATTAATAGTAATCATCAAACTGTTTGTTACGTAACTCGATTGGCTTTTACCAACTTGTGTCACATATGACAGGGAGATATCGGTCTTTTAACCAAAGAATGAGTTTACTACGAATAAGTCCTCTCCGTTCCACTTTATGGATGTGAAATATGGCCATTTAAAATAGAGTATTCGTAGGTTACTAGTATTCGGTCGTAGGAGTCTACGAAGCATTGCTCGTGTATCTTGAGATCACGGTGTAGCCAATACCCGGGTTAGAAATAGGATACGAGATAAGGATGGCAAATCGATTGATAAAGTAGTAAATTTTCATCAACTGAGGTGGTCGGAACGTGTTATACATGCCCATCCACCGCCTACCTCGATGGGAGACATTTCCTGGTGTAAGAGTAGATTGGAAGAAAACTAGGAGCGGTAAAACCAAAACATGGCGTCAGTCCGTGAACTTAGTCATGCTAATAGGCGTAGATTTTCTAGTTGTGGTATGCATGGTTGTCTTAACTAATAGTTAGAATCTTTGAATGACATGGGTCGAAATCGTTTGGAATGTCGTAGATGCATCTATTCTTTATCCTCCGCAATATTCTGAGCTTCGAAATTCCTCATAACTTTTTTGTCTTTATTTCACCAATTTATATTTTCTTTTCGAGTCGTACTTCAATTTCTAATCTTTCTTATTACCACTAATACTGTTTTTACCACTACTACTCTGGGATTTGCGGTTTTTTAGCAAAGTTGTTCTCTACGGGATGGGGTTGCTGATCCCATGCCCAAACGTACTCCTTTGTCCGGGCTTGGGTTCGGTAGTAACCCCAGACTGATCATATTTGCATCATTAAAAAAATTCAGAAGGTCAGTGGGAGACGTGAGAACCAAGAGATGTGTTGACATAGCTTCAGATCATCACTTGGTGGTTGCTAAAATGAAACTAAAACTAAAGAAGTACTGGACAACTGGAAAAACAACATCGAAGTAACTGCGAACATGCTCCACGTTCTGTTCAGGAAGATTTAGGAGGAAGAACAACTGCCGATGGTCTGGAAAGAAGGACACCTCATCAAGATTCCAAAGAAAGATGTGAGCAAATGTAAGGATTACAGAGGCATCACACTACTGTCAGTACCAGGAAAGGTTTTCAACAGTGTCGCTGAACAGGATGAAAGATTCGGTAGACGCCCAACTTCGAGATCAACAGGTTGAATTTCGTAAGGATTGGTCGTGCACAGACCAAAATGCGATCACCGTTAGACAATCAGTTGAGTGAAACTCGTCACTGAACATCAACTTCATTGACTGTGAGAAGGCGTTTAACAGTGTAGATAGAAGAACATTATGGGAAGTCGATACTATGATGTACCTGAGACGATCGTCAATATCCGACAGAATTCATACGACGGACGACGATGCAAAGTCGTGCACGGAGGACAGCTAACAGATGGATTGCAAGTAAGAACCGGTTTCAGACAAAGCTGTCTACTATCCTCCTTCCTCTTTCTTCTGGTGGTTGTCTGGATTATGACGACCTTGACATCTGAGGGAAAGCACGGAATACAATGGATAGCCCAGAATCAATGAGAAGTGAGGACCGGTGTCGGACAAGGCTGTTTACTCTTCCCCTTTCTTCTAGTGGTTGACTGAATCGTGAAGACTTCCACATCTCAGGAGAAGCATGGAATACAATAGACAGCTTGCATACAACTGAACGATTTGGACTTCTCAGATTACCTAGCTCTTCTATCCCATACACACCGATAAATCCGGGCTATGACTGCCAGTGTAGCATTAGCCCTCAACATACATAAGGGAGAAAGCAATATCCCGATAAACAACACAGAGGGTACCAACCTAATCACACTTGGTGAATAAGCTCTGGGAGAGGTAGAATGTTCTACGTATCTGAACAATATTACTGATAAACAAAATGGGTCTGGTACAGATGTGAATGCAACGATTGGCACTACATAGACAGAATTCCTACAGTTAAAGAATATCTGGAACTCAAAACAGCTGTCAGCCGAAATCAGAGTTAGAATCTTCAATACGAATTTCTAGACAGTTCCAGTGTACGGAGCTGAGACTTGGAGAACTACAATCGTCATCAAAAAGTACAAGTACTTATAAACAACTGCCCACGAAAAATACTCAGTGTCCGTTTGCTTGATATCATCAACAACAACAAACAAACCAGATACCAGTTGAAGAGGAAATTAGATGCTGGAGGTAAATAAAACATACATTTCGGAAACCATCAGACAACACTAATTTAGAATCCTGAATGGAGAAGGAAAAGAGGAAAACCAAGGAACATATTGCGTTGGAAATTAGAAGCAGATATCAAAAGGCAGAATATCAACTGGAAAGGACTTCCTAGGACAGAGTTCGATGGAGAATACTGGTGGGCGGCCTATGCTCATCTGCTAGGAGTAACAGGCGTAAGAAAGTAAGTAGTTTTTGGCCTGACAACTTTATCTCTCTGTACTAATGGGGTATGGCAACTTAAACAGATGTACATACATACAGGTTCTACTTTGTGAGTGACGGGGTGACTATGTAACTATTTTCTCCTTATTTAACCGTTTATTCTTTTCGCTTTGTTCCAGGAGATCAATCAGTGTCGGAAAATCACTCACCCATTTCTTTTGCTGAGTCACCGATCCAAAATAAGCAAGCAAACAATAAGCAACAAGAACTATCCACTAGCAATAAATCTAGCTCCTCCATTGTAGAAATAAGGTTTGTTACTTCGATAAGCTTTTTGATATCCTTTTACATATACTTCGTAGTTGCAAACAATCGTTCAGTCAATTGATACTTCTTGCACCAAAATGATTACAGAATTGTTAATATTTGATAAAGTCCTCAAAGTAACTGTTCTCAAGACACTTATATACGTCAATATTCACGGAACCTTAAAACAAATATGTTGTGAGTGTAAACTTGTCCCACATTTAGGGTAGGTAGTCTGTTAGTATTGTTAACCCTTATAATAAAATCACAGAGCCTAGTACGTAAATGGTCACATGGTTCGTTAGTTTACCAAAGTACTTCATGCTTTTAATGTTGTGCCTACGTACTATGCGAAAAGATATTCTATTGAAATAGATATCAAAACTGCGAAACTGTTTTTCTATGTGGTTTTATCGAAATACATAATTTCCTCGTCAAATAATTTTTGCCTATTGTGAAAACTAGTTTTCTCAACTGGGTACCACATATGTCCAATACACTGTCTATTTTAAGAAATTACACAGCGTTCATGTTATGAAACACTGAATCCTGTTTATGCTAATTTAAGTTGTAAATATCCTAACATAATAACTTTTATTGAAAAAAGTTAACTTACATATTATTTGTAATATCCATGAAAGTTGAGTACCCGTATGATCATTGTCGTCATCAGTATGTTAAAATAGTAGTTTGTATTTTCGTTTTCCTAGTCTGATTGTTGTGTGAAAATAGATCACATTAAAAAGCACAACCCGCATTTATAATCCCATTAATTGGTTTTAATGGATTATTGTACATTTGATCCATTTCACCGTTTCATATATGAAACTTCTTTGTCATTTATCTATCAAACTAATTTGGTTGTGTTAATTTCCACATTATTATGTATAACACTCAAGTAGGTTGGCTTTTCTGTAGGCACTCCGTGTTAACAGCTTAACTGTTTTATAGGTATAGTTTGAAAACATTTCTAAATTAAATGAAACCGATATTTGTCACTTGTTCCATCTTAACATGCAATTTTAACCGATACCTTTCATTGTCAGTAGGGAAACAAGAATGTCACTGTTTCTAAATGTTGAAAGCTAGGCGCTTATAGAAAAGGGTAGCCATGCTATAAAATTATTTCAAAGTAAAAAGATTTTTTAAAAGAATTGAAGTAGCTTCCAGAGTAGATTGTGTGAATTAAATCGTATATCATTAGGAAGTGTAATAGGATGCTGTTTACTTAGTATTCATATGATAAGCCTGAAAAATACTAGGTTATTACTGGGTTCCATCCAGTATAACACCCGGAATTGTGCCACACCAAAATTCAGTTATTTACTAATACAAGTAAAACATTGATAATTCGTTATCACACTATAAAAGTTCAGTAAATTATATAGGGTCTACCTGTTGGTAGAACAGATACTTGATCAAATCACGTTTCAGACAATATTCTCGACTAATCAGCGCAGATGGATGAGCTGTAAACACTCTACAATACTGTAAAGTTGATTTATATTCACTGACATTTTGATGTTTTCTGTTTTATTTGAAATATGTTCATTTTACTGTTCGAGCCGTGTTTTGATTTGAAAACCAGTTGAGCAAAACGAAGTATGCAAGAATACTAGACAGTAGAATGCCGGGCCAAATAAGGAGATTTAATACTATCCTCTTTGAAGAGTTGAATGCATTTATCGAGCTACATTATTGAATAACTAAAACTGGTAACTGTTCGGTAACGTCTAATTCTCTCTCATTTCAAGACTACTTACTCAAGAAGTCAGAAACAAAACAGAAAGATGTCGATAAGATTGTTGTACAAATATGTACATGTTACAACAGTTTGCTACAACATAATTAATTAAGAGTACAAAATATTAAAAAGATATTATATTAGATATTGTGGGTGAAAACTGAAAAATAACATAATCTTTGATACGCATCTACGTAGTATAGTGATGAGGAATTACTACAACTCTTCGTGATTTATTGATGTTTTTACCACTCAACAAATACGAAAGCTGGTTAAATTTCATCTTGGTTTTTGAATGCGGCAATCAGATCGCTTAATATTCGATTCAGATATTTAATTCTTTTTTTTTGTATGAGTCCATTTATATACACGTTTATTTGGTAAAGCTAATCTAAACATATAAGTGCTTTACAATGCTCGTTTCACAGGTTACACTTCACTTAATTTCATTTCACACAAGAGCTGCTAATATCAGACTTTTAATGGATTTATAAACGTCGTGTCGTATGTAAATGAATAGTCACGCATTTATTTGTTTAATGTTTTTTGACCAATTAGTCTATGAATTTGGAATTAAACACAGATCAATCATGTCCTACTAAGCGGTCGAAAGCTCCTGCCCAAACTCAACCCATGAAAACTGAACATAATGAGAATACAAAGTTGGGTACCGTAAATTCGCATACTTCAACACCGTATGAAGAGTTGTTGTACAAAAATCTTGGTGCTGAAACAGTAACAGCCATTCGATCACTGATTCTGAATAGCGAAACCCATACTTCACGTCCTTCTGAAATCCCTTCTTCATGTGATGAGATGAGTAAACAAGTGAGTCAAACCATTTGCTTAAACCCATCTTGGAATGCATTTGTTAAGAATTTTAAACATAATACAGCAAGGTAAAAAGTATTCTCTTTCTTACTAATATAATTTTCGGTCGGATGGTAAAGTTCTATTCGATTGCAATTAAATATTTGTTCAAAAAAAAGTTAAAGAAATGACGTGAATTGATTTAGTTCATCTCGTTTATAAGTGAATCTATTCTGAAGCACTTTAATGTACAAATGTTTTGAAAAATATAGGAGGATGTGAAATAGGTTCATAGCATTTCATTTCAATTCATGTGGAATGGTTTCTAGTATCCTGTTATACTCCTTTCAGTGATACGCTGTTATATTCATTCTTCGTTTTTTTATTTATACAGAAAATATCGTCTGTGTCTCCCAAAAATACGAATAATCTGCCCACAACAAGTGAACTTATATCACAGCATATGACAGCCCAGCTACAAGCGAAAGAAGCTGAATGTCAGGTAATAAAAGTACTACCATATATACATATATATAGTGACAACAGGAATAGTAAACCCTTATAATCTAGTTGTTATAGTGCGTTTATTTCTTGAAATTCAGCATCCACTCTTACAATCAGATGAAATATTGTTGATTATCGACTGGATGGTTTCTTCCATAAAATAACGGTACCTGTGGGAAATATATTCCTACGTTAGTTTCTTTCATCTATTGTCCTTTTGAAGTTCAGAAACTTGTACATACCACTGATTTGTAATCACTTTTTAAAATGTGAATTCCTTGTATTCACCGAGTGTATGTTAACATTCTATAATTTTTGTAGAAACACTCCTGTTGCCTAATAACAGTAGATAAAATTTTATTTAAGGTAATTATGAACTTCCAGTCATTAGTATAAGCATTTACATGAAAACACTTGTACTAATGACTAAGGTTTGATAATTTTTCCTCGTGCGAATGTGGTATGGAGAATTAAACCTATACACATTTGTGCCAGTGTCTGTGTTGCAAATGACTGACTGACTTGACATAAGTGAGCGTTATTTCTTTCCCTGATCATACTATATTTACTTGTAACCGTACTGCTACTCAACAATACAGACTGATCACAAATAAGTTACAAAACTCAAGTTAATATAAAAATAAAAAAAATTTGAAAGGTCAATTGTTTTGTTTAAATAGAGTTTACATACAGAGGCAATTTTTAATTAATTTTAATGTTCAAAGATAATTCAGATTTCAGTTGTTTTTATAATTATTTGCATCATTTCTTCCAATGTATAGTCTTTCGTTAGCTGTAGTTCACATTCAATCAGATAGGCATAGGATGAAGTTATCAAATTCAAAGAATCACTTGTGATTCATTCCACTAATACAGTTTCATTGTTTATTATTATAACCAGTTATCTGTTTTACACTTGACGTCTATTAAAAATAATTTCTTTAACTGTTGTTTAAAAAGAAATTGAGGGAGAGTACATTTCACGTATCTAGTAGTAATTCATATTTAACTAAACTGATATATGCTTTTGATTGAAAATGCTTTGCAGATTATATCGTTATTATTATATTTATTTATTTAAGGTTTGCGTACTGAAGTTGTCCATTTAAGGGATGAAGTAAAAATACTGAAAACTCTAGCTCTTAATCGTGTACCTGTCCAAAAGCCTATGACTGACGCTGAAACGATGACTGATCCAATGTAAGTTACATGTTACTACCCTGTCACTAATAATCATCATGATAATAATAAACTCACTTTTACTATATGTTTACCTACAAATAAATAATTCTCAGCACCAAATAAATTCTTACAATAAATCCCAATTTAACACGTATATAGCTATTATATATATATTAAACTATATCTTACCAGTGCTTATTTAGCATTCATTTTCAACTGTAATCAGTTTCAACCGTTCCCCAAACTCATAGTTTGTTGAATGTTACATCGGTCTTGATGTACTTTCCCATCGTTCCTCAAAAGAATAACAAGAAATAAAAAATATCCTAACCACTATGATATTTCCACTACTTAACACCATGATATATTGTTGGCTTTTTGCAAAACCCATAAGTACATTTCAAGATTCATAGACTTAGTTACTCCGTCAACACACATCTAAATTAGAAATGTTTATCACAATAACTCAGCAGTTTGTAAAAAAGACGACCCAAAGTGTTGTTAAGCTCGTCGCTTGTTTTTTATTTCTGTTAAAGATTTTAAACCCATTTAGCTTTCTGTATTCATATAAGTTTCAAATGAGTGATTAAGATTTGAAACAAAGATTTTTAGTCGCTCAGAGTGAAACATCTACTGTTTTAAGGTTAAAGTTACCAAATATAAAAAAGTACTGATAATTTCTATTTGGGCGTTCTACTGAAGACCTGTTGTTTAAATCCATGTGAATAGGAAAGCATTTCGAAACTCCAATACTTTATTTAAACATAGTGAATATTAGTCAGATCTTGATATTTCTACGTGAAAGGTTCTTAGCTCCAACGTCAGACTCCGTTCGTAAATATCATTATCTCATATTTTCCTAATTGTTAGTGAATCACCGGATATTAAATCCACGCTTCCTCAGCAATCGACCGATTCAGATGCAGTTCTACTGTCGACTCTTCAAAATGAAATTGCCCGTTTAGTTAAAGAAGTGGTTATCTATCAACAACGTAGTGAAGTAAGTCGGTACTCTTCTGTGTAATATAGTCTGTTAATATTAACCATTTTCGAGTAATTTAATTTTGTTTCATTATAACTTATATTAGTGTGTAGATATTGTTTTAGACTCCACGCTTGTAGCAAATTTTGTTTGTATTATAATCTTGGGTTAAATGGTTTGATGAAAGTTGTCTGTTGTTACAATCCAAAGGAAATTTGGTCGATAGAAGGCATAGAATGATACAAAGTTGTCATTTTATTTCAACACATAAATATTGGTACAAGAGGGCACCAAATATATATGCACCACACCATATTTGTGTGTGTGTGGGCTGCGATACTGCCCGAGTGCCCAGACCCAAGCACATGGTTTTCTTAGAGGGCCACACCCCGAACCTTTGACCTAAAGGTCTAACCCACAAGGTAGTGGAGCATTGTGAAGAGACGCGTTCCCATGGTTGCCGGTGACCAACGATTGGTTCATACGCCATTTGTTCCTTTAGGATACTGGAGCCCATGTGCACCATTGGTTTGTAATCCGGTTATAGCGCCGGACATTCGCTTTTCGTCCCCTCGTTTTCGTAAACGACACTCCCGCCACGAGAAGGCAGTGAGTAGGACTTCCCTGGCAGAGGCTATATGCGTGTAGCCGTGTGAGAGCATTTCGAGAGGGGGGAGGGTGGGCCCACCCACTCTCGGTCATACCAGGACATTTGGGGGGCTGTTGTCAAGTGATGGGTGCTCCTGAAATCGAGTTATTGACGTAAACCGTCGGATGATTTAGAAGTGAAGGAAAGAAAACTAGCCAGTAGAATATGCTTCTTGTGTAATAAAATGACATGCTTATGTACAAAAAGATTCACGCAAAAAATAACACGGTAAACTGACGTAGGTAATTGAAGAAATTAGTTTTTATTGCACTCATTCTCTTATCAATTAAGGTTTGACTGTTAAATGTGATTTCAATTCACTATGACTGTATTCTCATAAAAAGTGTACTACATAGTTTGATTTTCAACAGCAGTTATTGGTTCTCTTTACTGGCAAATATCTTTAATATGTTTCTAGTGTCATAGTACCAACCTTTACACCTTGTTAAGAGCATCTAGCGAAACAAAACCACTGGCCAGATTTTAATAAAACTTCAAATCGAATTAAACATATGCACGAGATCAAATGAGGTACTAATTAAGATGTGGTAATTCTGTTTTTCCCCCATTTATCTTATTCATTTTTCTTAACTCTCCACAAAACTGTCTTCACATACGCACACAATTGTTCAAAATATTGAAGATGTTATTATTTTCTATTTGGCCATCATATTATTATGTGGTAGCAATTTCAAAATTTTTGTTAATAAATCTATTTAGTAACTAATTCTCTGACTTATGCAAAAGTACTATTTTCATGAATTGTTTTCTCTACAATTAATTCACTAATTTTAATAGAATTTAAAAAGTCGTTTGGATACAGCCAATAAGAAATTATCCGATTCAAAATCTAAAGCTGCTGATGAAACTAAATTATTACAACAAACTTTAGATACACAATCGGAGAAATTATACAGTCTAGAGTCTGAGAATAGTCGTTTAGAAAAAGAATTAAAAGATGTATTACAGAAAGCTGAAATTCATCATCGAAAATCTGAGGTTTGTCAGATTATGTATATGCCATTACTGTAATTCTTGTTGTTTCGATAAATCATTACTAATAGCCATGCATATTAATCTATATTTGAGTTCATTAAGACTGTTCAATAATTTTTTGTAATAAATAAAGTGAACATTTGATCAGATGCTGTGTGTCAGTGTATTATAGATTGTATCAATGTTTCAGGGTTTCTTGGTCTTGACACTTGGTTTTGTTTCAACTACGTTTATTATTATCCAATGCCAAATCATCTTAACAATCATTATTATCATAGTTTAGTAGTCAATAAGAATTTATCATATATTTATCTACGTATTTATGCGTGATTATTATACTTTTAATGCATGTTATTATAGGTCAAGGATATTTTTAAATGTGAAAGTTTCATGTATTCAATTTACATCAAATATTGTTGACTCATCTAAAATATATGAATTCGAATACTTAATAATTGATCAAAAGTTGCTTACCTTCTAAGCTAATACTGTTTAGTGTAAATATGTAACTAATACAACCTATCTAATGTTTGTCTACCGTGGAAATTTCGAATTTATCATATGTCTATATGTTTAATGCTCATTATAATCTAATTCGATAGTCAATTACAATCAACTTAATTATCTCGTATGGCATTATTGCGTGTAGCTATAGAATTGTAGACTTTATGACCTAACTTGTATTTAATATTATCGAATGATTATTGATGGTAAAATATTTCTTGTTTATATATTCCAATTCTTTAAAAAAATTGTATATTGACTACTCTACTTTACCGTTTGTTCCACTGATCTTTGTAACATATCGAATATTAGTACAATGTTCTCGATGATTATGATAGAGATTATAAGTTCAAAGATAGTTATAGCTTCGTTATCGTTTGGTTTCAAATAAGATAGATATTATACATTTTGCATCGAAATTAAGAGTTTCATATGGATACAATAATTCATTTGTATACATATCAAGTGTCATTCCATCCATGAATTAACATTGGTAATAATGATAACTAGACATTCTAATTTCTAGTAACAACGACTCGTTGGTCGACATATGTGGAGCGTAAAATATGGACTTTCATCTTGAAAAAAAATCAAATTATACCATACATCTATTTTTATTAATAATGACATTAGCGTCCTTAAAGTTTGGAATCTTGTAAACTAATGTAGTTTATATATAAAGGGATAGGAAAAAATGTCAACTGCTTATATAATAAAGGTTTCAGTGACTGTTAGCACTGATATTTCACCTTAATTTTGCTTCTGTCATATTTTATGGGCTCAGTGACTTACAAAATTTTCACCTGAAAAATGTACTGAATGCATATTTACACCATTTCTTTTTTATGTGTTGTCAGTAGCTGTATATGTAATTTAATACATACGTATTCCTGTGTGATAAATATTTGGTGATTTTATTATAGTTATTTATGTTAATTTGCTGGCTCGATCTAGAAATTTATTTAATGAGGCAGTAATACATGTATGTCATTATACAATCACACTCAAGGATATATGGATATTTTTAAACTTGACTTTCTAACCTTCTTATTTGTTGTAGGAGGCTGAACACAAACTCACACAGCGTTTGGAGGAACTAGAAGTACTCCGACTAGATATCTCATCTTTCAGGAGCAAATGTGAGGTGAGTTCATGGTTTATACATATATATATATATATATATATATATATATATATATATATATATATATATATATGCTGTGTAGATAGTTAGATAATATTCATTCTTTTGAACAGGATAGGTTTTTAATCAATTTGCAGGATAAATAACCTCAGTGTGAGCAATTTAGTCATCGTTTTGTGGAGTTAAAGAATAGGTCACCGAGTATTAATGAGGAGTAATTATTGATTTAAACATGTTGATGACATCTCAAGGTTTAACAACAGATATTATTGTATATTGAAAAATGTAGCCTTTAAGATATCTCAGCTGGACGGTATTAAACATATATCACAAAATATATTTTACTCCACTTATGGAACAACAAGCCATGAGTATGTTGGAAATTTCATTCTACTGAACTTAAATAAATTTCTCATCTGGTTATTACTTTGTAAATTCATTTGACAAATAATTAGAGAGAACCAACAGCGAAATCTTATTATGTAAACTAGGTTTTATCAAAACCATCGTTTCTCTATTTACCGAATGTATGTATAAGGTTACCTTCGAACCTTAAAAGTAATATATTCGCTGTTTTCGAACTTCAGGCACTGGAAAATGGAAACTCTGTACTTCGGGGAGAGAAAGACATTCTAACACTCAAATTCGACGAATTAAGCAATAAACATTCCGTAAGTTTCGCTGATCATTACTGTAGTTGTATATTATCATTACTATTCGTCTAATTATATGTAATCATAGGCGTTTTATGATTAAAGTATAATAGTTGATCTCGCAGAACGATTCATTTATCACTTCTTGTTTTTATAAGTCCATTTCACTTGTTCTGATCAAGAAATTTGGAAAGACTGAAATATGATCTTTCTATATATTGTATATATTCAATAAAGATAAACTGTAAAATAGAAATCACCAGTGTCTAATCACTGGTCTTTCAGTTGAATCTATCAATTCTTCAGACAGAAGTTCTGCAGCAGTTTCGTTAACCCAAATAGGGTTGATCCACAGTTCATTGAATGAACATGTGTGTTGCATTAAACTACGCTATACCATTATGCTTAATATTATCGTATGAAATATATGATTTGTGGCTAATAATCAAATCCTAGACGCTAGTTTGGGACTCGCCAGTTGGGTGAACCTGCTTCCTTATGTTTATGTTCACGTTGAGACTCTAACCCAGTATCTTTCACTTCAAATATCCTGTTTTTCCTAGTCAAAATGACTTACAAGATTACGCTTCAAATAACTGACAGTTGCTCACATATTTGTATATAGTTTAACAATTGATTTCCAAATCACGCATTTAGGACACGAATGCATTACATTCAAGACTAGTTTATTTATATACTATATTTGAACTTATATCTCCTAATAGACACATTTACACTTTACCAACATCTATGGAATATAGAAAGCTACAACTTTATTTTTAAAGAAGTATGGTTTCTTTGTTTTTTGGCTTCGTACACTAACGTTCTGTGTCTGTGACTGCTTTCAAAATATTTCGAATTGAATTTTACCCACCTCGGAAAAATTGTATTCTAAGGTCGAAAGTTATTTACAATTGTCTTGTCAGAAATAAGAGTTTCACAATATAGCCCTAAACTATTAACAATTATTGTTTGGTGTTAGTTGTATATTTCTAAACATTACATCGTTTTTCTGTATTTCACTAAATCAATGCATGCAAAGTAAATACTATTTTAGAAAGTAACAAGTTACAAGTTTCGATTTTTCCTTTCGTTCTTTCTGAATTTTGTCTTCACGAACTTGTATCTATTTCAACACATAAATATTGGTAGAAATAGGCATCAAATACATATGCACCACACAAATCTCATTCGATATGTGTGATACTGCCCGGGTGCCTAAACCGAAGCAGATGATTTTCTTAGGGGGCCACTCCCCGAGCCTTCGACCTGAAGGTCTGACCCACAAGGCAGTGGAGCATCGTAAGGAGATGCAGTCCCATGGAAGCCGGTGACCAACAATTGGTTCATACGCCATTTGTTCCTTTAGGATACTGGAGCCCATGTGCACCACTGATTTGGTTTGTAATCCGGTTAAAGCGCCGAACATTCGCTTTTCGTCCTCTCATTTTCGTAAACAACACCCGTAGTGCGAGAAGGCATTGAGTAGGACTTCCGTGGCAGAGGCTATATACGCGTGGCTATGTGAGAGCATTTGGAGAGGTAGAGCGGACTCTCTCCACTGTCGGCCGTAACAGAACATTTGTTAGAGAATGGTAATGTATCACTTATTCATAGTCTTATACTGATGCATGAGAATCATACCAACATATATTTTTATGCTCTTGCCTGTCACTCACCTTCGTTCTACGTGATTAGGCTAATCGCCAAACTAAGTAAGTATAATTTCTTTTCATACGTGTATAGTCACCCATTTACACTGGCAGATCAAGAATTCAGAGGGCAATGGTTCAAGTCTATCGGTCAGATGATCATATACTTGATATAAAGGATTCTTTTTAACTGGTCTATGTGGTACTCATTAATCGTTTGTGGTATAAGCCAAACACGTTCCCTCTCTATACGAACTGTATGATATCGTGTTGATGTGAGTCGACCAATTTATTCTTTTGAAATCATATGTATGACTTTCACCAATACTTCTAGACTAAACGGTAGGTTTTGTGATGTAACTGCCTCAAATCTGCACAAGTTTTCAGCTGGCTCACAAAACTTAAGAGTATGAAGTAATAAGGTGATCGAATTTAAAACAAATCCAGATCTTATCTGTATTTCTCGTATCAACAATGACACAAAGGATCGACGAGATATAATTGTATTTATATGTGTATTTCCATTTATCTACGCTGCTTCATTATTGTTATTATTATTATGCTTGCTTTTAACAGAGTGTTCTGTCCGAATTGTCTGCATCTCAATCACAATGTAACGTACTTCGTAGACAAATAAGTGAATATGATGATCGTCTACGTCAAATAAATGATCAACATCAAATTGTTGTAGATGATATGAAGAATCAGTTAACATCATTATTATATAACCATGAAACAAAGGAAAAATCACATATCAATATGATAAATACATTAGAAGCTAAACTAGAAAAGTTAACCAATGAAAATAATGAATTAAATAAATTACTTAAACTACATGAAAGTGAACTAGAACATTTACGTACTGTTGAAAAAGTTACAGTAATTCAAAGAACTAATGAAGATAAATTTATGCAAACTGTCGATGATATTCAGAAGTAATCATATTTTTTAATTTTACAATATATATATATATATATATATATATATATATATATATATATATATATATATATATAAAGTATAATTAATCTGTTAATTCTACCTCCCGTTTGAGTTATGCTGTTACATACTTCTTCATAATAAATCGAGAGTTAACTAAAAGAAAAAGAGTTTACAGATAACAATAGTAGAACATAAAATTAATATCATATCAACTCTGAGGTTTAGTATGAATGAATTGATATTTCGAACGATAGTTAATTATAAACGAATTATTTACACAAATAGATTAAATCAATTTACTTCACTCTTTTAATTTAGTGTATTATTTATTTTTTGCATTTGAATTCGGTTATAAAATCAAATTATACAAAGTTGTTTTTCTTAATGAATTATCCCAATAGATTTGTACTTAGTTCTTTATTCTCCTTAAGTGTCAATTAGTTTTGTATAGTCTATAGTTCTATGTTCAATAAAAAAAGGTGTATTCGAATTTTTGTATGTTGTAAATTAGTTTACTAGTCTATCTAAATACTGGTACCATCATGCATATGTAAACGTGTTTACAATAAATATGCATAAAAGATGAAAATAAATTAATATCAAAGTGATATAATCAATAATCATTCTCTCTATGGTTTGTACTCACGTTTTCACCGCATTTTGGTATGCTTATCTCTTCACTTTGTGTAAGAAACCTGTGCTTTTTTTGCCCACACAACTACTGTAACTATTTTGTACTGATTAACAGCAAGAGTGAAATCTTTACTTCACCCGGTTCTTTAGGTAAAAGTTGATTACAGATTTACTTTTTTGGTGTCAAATGTTATGTTGTTAATGACCAATAGAGTTCAATCCGTGTCAAGTGTAAAACAATTATGCACCTCAGCTAATAGATGGCGGTTGTTCAATAATGTGCTTTGATCGGAGTTAGACATTAATGCCGTTCTATTACCACGTGCGGGATCTTGGACGTATAATGTTAAGGAGTTGCGTACTAGTATAAGACAACCGTCCACTGCTTTTAAGTTTTCGATTGTAGTCTAGCTAAGATCGATTCGGGATTTAAACCCTAAATATTAATGTTTCAAAACAGTCTTTTCAAAATTCATTTCTTTACATTCTTTGATTTATCTTTTGTATATCAACCATAGAGAAATTATTATCTACGCTATTTGAACATAAGTTACCGTACTAATTGTACCGCATTTTTATTACCTTGGTTATGAATGTTCTATCTTAGTCTTTTTAAAATTAAGTTTTACAAACTGATGTATTTTTTCACATTGGAGATTTTTTCTCTGAGCTGGATGGTTTGGTCATGGAGCTTTCATCGTTCTTCTAAACAACATCATCAGCACAAATTCACCATCTCACATTGGAGTGTTGATTGTTGTGTTGAAAAAATAATTAACTGACAGTATTATTATGATTAATATATTTATGATGAGAAATATTAAAAAAACTACGCAACAAATATAAGATGTTCTGCTAGTTCCAAGATACTCTTCCCATCTGCCATGATCAAAGTAGCCTGAGATAATCTAAGATGTACCGTTTAGTAATAGCTGAGTGCTAAATCCCCATCGTACGGTTCCCCACAATTAATTTACTTGAGTTTCTGGTTTATTTCGATCACTTTTAACTTAATTTTGAGGCATTATTGTTTCTTGTATTTTGAATAAAAAACGGAATTACATCTGATTAGCCTTCCAATAATGTCTATTTTAATAAACTTGAAATTATTATTTTTTGATATTTGTGTTTTGTTGAAATTTTTTAGCACATTCGCCTCTTGTTTATAATAGGTTCTTGTGGAAATCTGTTTAACTTGGTGACGGTTTTTTGACGCAGGTTGACATTAGTTAATGTTCCAGCAAAGCACTCTTTGCCTATGTTAAACCATTTTAATTATCATTCAGCCTCTCAATCAAGCTCACCTTCAACCATGGTGTTACATGTGCTCAACCACGGGTGGGGATGGGGTTGTTATCTAGTGTGAAGAATATGTTATAAAAAATCTGGTGGTTGCCAAACCACGACGTATCAATAGTTATCATCTTTTGGTAGATGTACACTACCTGATTGTGGTCCGTGCAATAACCTCGGTCAATAGATCGAGACTTATTATCAGATTCGCTCGTAGCGGCAAAATGTCTATCCACTTTATATCTTGCTCTGGATCATAAATCCTGGCATTCGTTCTTACTTTTTCAGTATATATTCTCATTATCATCACTACTACATTATTTCAACTCCTTTATGATTTATTTTGTTAATTACATCTCATTGTGCTAATATAACATTGCTAATTGGAGTAACGTTTATATTATCCAGGTTCTATGTTAAGTGAGACTCATTGATTGAGGTTTAATAGTAGTACGATCACTACTTTGCATTTATTTAATCTTTACTTGCGTTCTATATAACTGTATTAATGACAATACTAGAATCAAAATTCATGTCACTTTCATGTACGGAAAGGGCTCTTGGTACCTAACCATATTATCCGTTGCAGTACTAAATAATCGTCATCAATTTTTTAAGATTAATTTTCAACATAATTCTTTTCAGTCTATCTCATTGAAAGTATATTTTTTTCTATGAGTTACATTTCTTCTCAAATATTTACTTCTGATAGTGTAATCGTCTTATATTCATCTTGTTGAGGTGGTGCTATTGAAAAAAAATGGAACAGAACTAATAAATGTATAAAGCATACATATATTGTATCCCTTATACATGTATATTAAATATCTTTCTTTAGATTGATGCACTTTCGCTGATATTATCGATTTGTACTAAAATAATAAAAAGACTCCCTTGTAAACTAGTTATAGAAATGTGCTTCAAAACGAAAAAAAATACATTTATGGAATCAAGTTCTCTAGAAAATGTGGCATCTTATATATATATATATTTATCGTATCATGTCTAATCATATACTCCTTTATGTGAAGTCAGTACTTTAATAGCTAAAATGTAAGTGATAACGGATCTGTTTTTGAGCGTAAAACATTTCATGACAATAATCATAGTTTCTTATTACACATTGCTGATTTACAGGAAAATGTTCATATTTCCAGTCATGAACTTCCTAAAAATTAGTCGTTGGCAAATACATGTATTTCATTATGAGTGTCAATAATTATATAAATGGGTTTTTAATCGAGCTGTTTTTGTATCCACAATATATATTTTTATTGAGCATTGTTGCCTTCCAACGTATTCACTCGATATGTGAAATTGCTTGACAAACATTGTTCTTGTAGCTAGTTTGTATTCTTTAGAAATATCGAATATAAGTTGCCTATTAGTATAGGCTTGTAGGGATTATCAAGTTTCACGGGAATGAACGGATCAATGTTAGACCACCATTGAAAACCTGTAGACACTGGACAGTCGTTTCGTCCTAGTATGAGACTTTGCAATGCACATCCACAACTCCGCACACTGAAATCGAACTATTCTGTTACAAAATATCCCAGATGTAATGAATGTGATTTTTTATGGATACCGGTTTCAGATCTCTTCTCTTGTGTATAATCTGATTGTTCTGGGCGGGTGGGGGAAGCTAATTTCTTGCGCTTTCTGCTTTCTAGTTATATTTTTCGCGAATCAACTTCACTGTTTTTTTCTTCAGTAATGATCCTCAAACTGATGATGGCGAGTCAAGCAGCATTCATTATGAAACCATTGTTAAAATGAATGATCATACAGGCCAAACAGAATCGGATCAATTTATTATTAAGTCTAGTGAATACAAATCATTACAAAGTCAAGTTGATCATTACAAGTCAGCGTTAGATGCCACTGAATCAATGCTATCTAAATTACAAACGTCCGTGAATGAAGAAGAAGCACGTTGGCACAAAGCATTGGATGCTGCAAATATTGAAAATGAATTGGTAAACGAACATTTTTTGAATGTATCTGTAGACGATTGTGTAAAATGTCTACTTGTAGGAAATCGCTTTCTATTCATTTTGTGACAGTAATATGTTGTAAACAGTTGTACGTATTTTTTGTGTCCGATCGCTATACTGCTTCCACTCCTTATTCTTTATATTTTTGTAATATATGATATTGTGAATTGGTAATCGTCAGACATTAACATCGTTTGGTGCCGGCTCTGTGATCCAGAGATTAAGTGTTCGCGCTCGAGATACGAGGTCCTTGGTTCGAGTTCCACGTGCTGGATTGTGGATGCACACTTCTGAGGAGTTTTATGCTGGGACAAACTGGCTGTCCGTTGCTTCTAGGTTTTCGATGTTGGTCTAACATTGATCGATTGATGATTTCAATGAAATGTAATTCATTTCTCAAATATAAAATCTAATATTTGACTGTAAACTTAATTGTTTATGTGTCGATAGGGCGATGACTCATTGGCGAAGGCCTTCGACTTTCAGCCATTAATTCAGCAATTAAATGACTTAGTTAACTGGGAATCATCGTTATCCCTCATACTTAGCGCGTGATTTAATGCCCAGTACACACATTTGTGTGTGGTAAGTGTGTTTATCTCAGAAATAGTTATATACCCCTGTTGCTCGAACTGAACTAATTGATATAGAATTAAAATCGGTGGTCTGCTAGCAGTTCAAAGCCTTGTTTATGTATGTATATTTTGTTCATATTTTAAAGGCTGTTGGAATATGCTACATGATAAAACAACATTATTCTTTTCAAGTAGATACATGAGTTGATCAATTATTTGAAAGTTTAGTTTTAAAGGTTTTAGTACATATACATTTGATCAAAGATTAAAGTAACCAATAGTTTCGTTTTACAAGTGTTGTTTATTTCGAAATAATGTGTCTTTATTTACCATAACATTATTTGGTTGTTTGATTGATCGCACGATCCTTTATAGCGTGAATGTATAAACTTTAATCAGCAAGATTTTTTATCGTATAAATTATTTATCATAGCATTAATTTAATTGAAGTGGTTTTGCAGAAACACACTTTGTAGGTTATATTCACTACAAGTGATCTCCGCTTAGGTATCACTAAATACCAGGTAGCATTAAATATCTGTTGGATTCTAGTTGTAAACTGCGCATCATGCACCACAACTCCACTAGCTATTAACCTCAAGACCTTCAGAGTTCCACCTAAAACTCTTAACTCATTCATATTGAATGTGAAACAGTTGTTACTAGTGTTTTGTCATGTAATCATCGCGTTGTATCACAATTTAATTGGAGTGAAAATTGTATCATTGAACTCTGGGCCAGTGGTTTTAGTGGTTAATTACTGGCGTTGTATAGATTCGTCAAAGGTGATATTTACTGAATAACCTTCAAGATATCTCGTATAGAAGTTTCTCAGTTTAATTTGATTGAATCGTGAATTTTCTGGAGAAAACGTGTTACAATCTAAGGGAGAGTAAATACTGAATTATGATTGTTACATAATTATATAAATTAGCTATTCGTTTTCTTTACTTTCCAGTTAAAAACGAAATCAATTAAACTTGAAGCTGCTTTGAATGAATTAATAGAAGATCGTAATACTTTGACAACGACTATCGAAGAGGTTAGTGCTATTACTATGAAGTTGGTTGTTATTTTTACGACAACAGTTAGTTTTTTATAACAGAAAAAAAATTTAAAAAATCACATATTCTGTAGAAAGTGTTAACTATCCATGCGATAATTGTATTTCCTAAAATGTGTGGTCTTTTCAATACTTTTGATATTTTCTTATTGGCTGCTCATTTCACATAATTAGGATATTTAATCATCACAAATAACTGGTTATCAGTCTTCCGATAAATCGTTTCTCACTGAAGTGTCTACAAATACCCAATAAAAATTTTCCAGCATTGTCTTTAGAAGTTGCTTTGAATCCTTTTGTTATTATTGTAACTTTGTCAGTAATCATAATGGCTATTAAAATGTTTCATGTCCATCAAGGAAGAAGGTTTTTGTATAATTACTCATGTTAATTAGTTTAGCCGGCGAGACTTTAATTTGTGGACGAACCAATGAGTTTAAAGATAGCAAGTCTTGGACTTGGACGCGAAATTCGTTCAGCCACAATGTTAAATAGCATTTTGGCATTATAGCTAATGTTCTTGATGAATACCTTTTCTTTAATGTATAATCTTAAATTCTAAATTCTACTCATAATTCCTCATATTACTTTACAACTTTCTTTTGACACTGGTAAGTAGGTGAATTATCTCAAAGTCACCCTAGCGTTTTTCAAAGATCGTCCATAACTTATAGTCGCCATTTAACTTTTCTTGGTAAACCTCAACATTTGTTTTCCTTTATATCAGTAGATCACTGTATTAAATTAAATTACACTGGTGAGCACTGGTATGCAGACTTCAGTATATGTAGTTCATAATGAACACAGTTCTTGAATATCACTCTCTAGTTAACTGTAGCTGGCCTCATTATCCTTTTTTATCGAACCAATGTCATAGCTGTTACCCTTAACTATTCTTAAAAAAATCAGTTATTAAATAAATCGTTGTACAGATTTCTCGTTAGGCTATTCAAAAATTAACTAATAATTTGAAATTCAAACTTTCTATAGTTGATTGTTGTGATAAAAAGATCTTTGTTTACTGAATGATAATTATTGATAGTCTACATCAGTTTTATTACTTTTTCGCATTATCAGCTTCGTAAAAACAGAGAGTTTAATCATTGTAATCTGATTGAACCTTCGACTGATAATTCTCTGACATCCATCAGTACGGAAAAGAAGTTGAACAATTCGTCATCCATTTCACCGTCACCGTCCTCGCCATTATCAACATCAGCGACAACAACTGATGATGCTGATGAACAAAACATGTCCAAATCCGAATTGATACGCCTAGTTGCTAAATTACGTAATCTTGTTGAAGTGGAACGTAATGCATTGAAACAAGAACAATCATTATCAGCCGAGTTAAGAACAAAATTAAACGATACCGACTCACATGATGATCAGAATTATAAATATTCAAATAATAATTGTTCGGACGAGAACACGGTAAATTTCCTTTTATTATTATTATTATTATTATTATTATTATTATTAAAACATTTTAGTCAGGATGTTATTGACAGATTAGATTTAAGGGATCTCGATAATTAAAGGATCTTTCCATTTTCTATTTGTTTATTTATTTGTGACTCAATGTTACAAACGGACAATAAAATTATTATGCGCCACACAAATAAGGGAAAGAAGATTGGGGGAGTACGTAAGATCGTCAGAACTATGCCTAATAACGTCTCAAGCCAATGAGTTACACCATTTATAAGATTCGAACTAAAGTTTCAATGAACCGACGAATTCCTGTCCTGTACAGTTTTATTCCGTACCACGTTTTCGTGTTATAAACTGAATATTTCCTCTCTGCTTTTAAAAACCAGTCTAGAGTCCAAATAAAGCCCCTATGTGGAAGTCTCTATGATGGCATTTCTAGTACATGCCCAATCCACCGAACCCAGCGTTTCAAATGATGACACAACTGAGTTGTCGTTCTTCAACTCTCCATCTAGCACTACTTTATATATATATATATATATATATATATATATATATATATATATATAACGCTTTTGGGACGTAGGTGAGATAACGAGAAGACGGCGTTCCCCATGTAATTTCTTTCTTATTTTGATGGAGCTCTAAAATCTGACAGTGTATAATGGACTGTTATGGGAATCCAGTCAGCCATTCCTGCCCCTACTCTATCCTTTAGTACTATACGACCGCCAATGAAACCGGACAAAGATCCTATAGGGTCTCCCGTTGAACGTGTTTTCTAATTGAGTCAATTCGTTGCACTTCTGGAGTCTTGAATACGGATCCCCAAAATACAGTACACATTGATATCAAGACTTTTCAAAAACATACCCAAACCTATCCGTTGTTCAATCTGCATTAGTGTGCAAATGTTGAAGAAAGCCGGTTTGAATGGCATATGTAGTTTGCATTTATTGTAAGCATTTACCTCTTCGATCAGGATAAAAGTTCTACTATAGAAGAGCTGGTGGGTGGATTGAAAATAAATGTAAACAATGAACAGAAACAAATTAAAAATTAAAGCAAAGTAAAACAAAACCCCGTATCCACAGTCCTACTAGAAGATTTGATTGGAGTCATAAGCCGACCTAAGTTAGACAATACTAAAAAATTAAACGACCGTTTAGTCCTAGGATGGGACACCTCAGGAGCGCTTATTCATAGCCCCTCACGTCTGAGTCGAACCATGGTTGCGCCCTATTTAGAAGTCCCATACTAGGACAAACAGCCGTCCAGTGTTTTAGTGTCGATCTAACTTAGATAGACTCATGATTTCAGTGAAATTCAACAATATTCACAGCTTCATACTGATAGAGAATTTAAATTTTCGTCACACTTTTTTGGTAGAACTTTTGTTACCATTAAACTAACTGAATTATAGTTCGTTTTATAAACTTAAGGTTGGAGCATATTGGTTAGAAATCAAGTGTTTAAACTAAACTAAACTGTTAATGCTTCAATTTCAAAAACTAACTCAAATCCGTCATCAATGTCGATCTCCTGGATTTGAACGTAACATCACCTGATTTTGTAATTATGTAACATCATAAAGTTACTAATAGTAAATCTATTTGTACTGGGTACATCACCAATCTACTACACTATTTATTTTTGATCCTCTAAATATGTGTTCCTGTTCGTCTACATATTGTCGTATTGTCTTTGTATTTTTTATTTTCCAGTGCTTAATTAATAATCCTACAGAAACTATAGAAAATGCTATAAACTGTCATAATAATTCTGGTGATGATCATTATACCAATACGAAAACTAATCTCTGCATAATCATCCCAAATGTGGTCTACTAGAAACTGATGATGTCAAATCTGAACAATTAAACAATTGCTTTGATGTAATATCAAAAATTCCAGATTGTATTCCTCAACATGAAATATCGTCGAATGACAGTGGTTACATTGTTCTATCCAATGGTATACATAAGGAATTAAATGGACAAACCAATCATGATCAAATTGATAGTAATAATGCTGATGATAATAATTAATATGAAACTGCAATATAAATATGAGTTTTTCTATCTATATGTTTTTCTTTTCTGTTCCTTCGTTTCTGAACTTTTCTGTTTGTTGCTTTCTTTCTTTATTATGTTAATTTCACTTACAGTCTTCTTTCAACTAATGTTTTGCAAATTTGTAGTCAGGTAGGAAAAAGTATAAAAAAATAAAAGAGAATCGAGATAATTAATCTCTTCATTTTATCTATCTTCTTGTTTCCTTAATGATTTGTCGTATATTTGATAATTTGGGATTTGTTGTAATATTTAATATTGGGTTTATATTCTCTCTCTCTCTCTCTGTGTGGACAGTTTTGTGAAACGTGCGTGCAATGTTTTAGGCGCACCTGGTGATTACTGCCACTTGTGAAATTAGTTATATTTATAATTTATTAAAACAATAATTGATATTGAATTATACTCTTTCTTCATTTGAGTACAGTTAAATGAAAGAGAACATATCTAGTTATTGCATAGGTGAATTTAGTCTACAAAAAGTTACTTTGTATTTCTGGTATATTTTCTGTTGTTGTAAATAATATTTTTTTGTTGCAATCTATCAATATTTACTGAAGTGTGCTCATTCAGAATTCCTTATGGTTGTTTATATTCACTATATAACCATTATACACACGGTAAATTGAAAACGTTTAAGTAGTTGTATACGAAAAAAAGAGATAAGTCAGTTTCACATACTGACTGAAAATATACTGCATTCTATTGATCATCTCTCCAAAAGTGCCTTGAGTTTTTTTTTACAAACAGTTTTAAAATATCTACTTCACATGTTTGTTATCTGAGAGATATAACGGGATGTTTACAAAGCTTTCCTACTGTAATACTACTGGTCTAAAATGCTTAGTGTTTTCTACTGTGGTTATTTTGATTGTAATGATGATTAGTTGTTATTCATTAGGTGATCAGACATATGATCCTTGTTGTATTCATTTCTTTTCTTTATTTTCCTCTAAACATCCATATTTTCGTTTCTTTTTTTAAAAATAGTGATTTTGTGTGTTTTTTTCTTAAATTTATGGACACGAAAAGCAACTGGAACTAATTTGTCTGAGGACTTCATCACTTTTCTCCCTGTCTTTATTTACCTTTACGTTAAATTACTTGTGGATAGGCTTGAATATTTATCCTTTTTTTCTTCCACTTCGTTTTTTATTCGTTACATTCTTTTGCTCGTATATTTTTACACTTACTTGAACATTGATAAATTGTACGTGTTATAGCTGAGAAGGTTAATCATAATTAAATTAACTTTTGTGCTATAGTTTAGTAATGACTGAAAAGTTCTAGTGTGATGTATGCTTCTCTTTATATTCTTCAATTTCTTTTTCGTACTCTATGTTTGTGAAATCAGTAAATTTTGTAATAAATTTGTTTGTTTTTTTTGCTGAATGAAATAATTTATTATTTTACGCCTTTTGATTTTTGTTATTTAGGTATTAGGGTAAGTAGTATTTTAATTGAAAGTTAATCGATCTCTAGTTATATATCTGCTCTGGAATATATTCCAGTCTTTAGTTTAATTATAAACTGAAAAGTCTTTACCTGTTAAAATAGTCTCATTCAAATTACTGTAATTCAGTTTATCTTATCGTAATGAAGTCAAGAAAATATTGATATTGATCCGTCACAATACAAAGCAATAAAATTTGGAAAGCGTGTTATAAGCAAAATCCAGACTTTTCCCGCCTAATCGTCAATAAGCGTGCCATTTAAATTGTGAAGATGTTGCTTAGTGACTAAGACGTTCGACTTTCAGCTACTAGGTCTCGTGTTCGAGTCCTTTACTACCTACTTCGGTTTGGGTGAACGTGTAGTTTGGTTCACATCCAAGTATCGAGTAAATGAGTTAATCTAAAATGCAATTAAATTCTTACTCATGTGGTTTTTAGCTTTGTTAGACAACAGTTCTGGGTTTGACAAGTATTCGGTTATAGTTTGACCACCTATATACCTTTTGTCTTTCATTGTAGCTAGTATGATATAAGGTTGTAAAATAAGCAATGGTTGTATATATAATTTCTGAGATCATAATGAACGCCGAAACTTAAAAGCGAAGTATCCGTTCGTATACTGGACTTTAATCTCTACTTCTAATGTGAAGGTCTGTAGTATAACCCAATCCTTCGAGCTGATGTAGATTAAACAACAGTTAATGATTGAAAGTTTATAAACTTATTTAGCCTATACTTACGTTCTTTGGATAATATCAATCAAGTTCAATTCTATTATCAATAATCTAATTAGATATTGTCATGTGAATTAAAATTACTTTTATACCTAATTGTATTCCAAAACTATTTCTCACAATTCTATTTCTTCCTTTTATTTCCTTAGACGAAACGACTATGATTGTTCTAATTAGAACTATAAAGTAAAAAATTGCCTAGTTATGTGTTGACAGTTTCTAGCCAGTAGATTGATTTTAATCGTTTTGAGAATTTGAAAACAATCACCTATTTTCATTTATATATATATGACAAGCAGTATTAATAATGATAATAATTATAACAATAATGTAGACTGTCATAGAAATACTATGAAAATGTATCCTAAATAATTAACATTTATAATAAAACTTGTAAATTTCAAAGTCATATGATAAGAATTGTTCATGATGGTTATTGTGCCAAATGATGACCAGTTTTAAATGTTTATTTCAATTTATCGTATTGTTATAAATATAAACATAACCTAATTGGAAATATTCATTAAGTGAATTAAAAAGAAGGAACATTCTAGTATAGACTTTGGAATTTCAATACATTGAATATTTATCAATGGTTATTTATTTAGTTATTCGGTATTTTCAATTAATTTAATTAATTAGCGTTGTCAAATATACATACTTCTGTTGATGGAGTTTATTTACCTCAGTGTATTACGCATCAGGATGTGTATTTTGTTTCACGTTTGCATAATTTAAACTCTTTGATTTGTCGATGCTCATTGGTTCTGTGTCTGATCATCGAGTCCTTTTAATAATTTCAGAGCTCTGTAGTGTACCTCTAAGATTCAATAATCTATTTAACTATAATCAATTAATGTTTTTGTTATTGAACTGCTAATTTGTTAAACTGATCTTATTTTACTCATTTCTTCTTTCTCTACTAATGTCATACTTTATGTTATATTTTCCAACACCGGTTGGGTAAAACAGATGAAAAGGTAGCCAGTTGATGAAACAGCGCTACATATTGAAGGACAGTTATTTGTTTATCGAAGTGATTATTCTATTGTTCTAGAATTTTGTTTGTTTTAGTCTGTCAGCTGTGTGGCCATTGTTTCCATGTTTATATTGACTGTTTTCATATCTCACCTTGGATTTGTTTATCCTTTCCCTCATTGGTTAATAGGTTGAGTAGGTTTCATTGTTTATTGACTGTTGCATAATCAGTGTCAAGCTCCTAACAATTTTCTGGCATTTTTTTATTTGCTCTGTCTATTATTTTGACATTTTCTCAATCTAAATAACGTCCATAGTTGTTCACATGGATTGACATAAGAAAAGTTATGTCGTGACGTTTAACCGCTAGTTGATGCTCAGGTAGATGTCAATGGATCGGGTGGTCACGTTTTTCTATTTATTGGTTCACACAGCTGCTGCAGTTGATTTTATAGTTGATGTCTGGTTTCTTTCCGTTGATTGTGGAGAAATTCAAATAATTCACTTCTTACTGAATTATGATCTGGTAATGTCGAAAAAGATAATGAACGCTTTGCAATTAAACTATTCAACTCTGATAATAAAACACTTTCAAATTCCTCATCCTAAACTACAAATATTCTCCATCATTCACATATCTATCTATAGGGTCTAAACGATTGTACAAGGCAACAGCTTATGAAGTAATCAAATATTTTATAGATCACATTGTAGTAATGATTCTACTATAGTTATCTATTGTCATACACAATAAGATTTACTACACAGTTGAGATGTAATTTGTATTCTTTCGATTCTGATTTGAAATATATTCTCTACATTTTTTTAATATTCCCTCATCTATTTTGTCATAAAATGTTTCGCTTAGTGTTTTTGGATGATTTATTTCCTTGTATCGTATACTGTCATAACAAGTATAATTCAATAGGGCTGTTAATCATTTCTTACTTAAGTATTCAATTCTTAGTGTATTTCACTAGAAATGAATGTCAATTAATTGTTTCTTCTTAAAGATTTTTTTTCTCTAATATTATGAAATATAGTAAAATGCAACTAGGTATATAGTAGCATGAAGAATAATTGGCAGTATTGATTATTAACTAGTCATTTGACTTTTAAAACATTTTCTTCTCGATTAAAAATGTTTTATTAGGTAATTATAATGTTTAAAAAAAAAACAGTTTCGAGGCTTACTTCTATAAATAAATAAACGTGAATGATGAAACATTATAGCCGAGATATAAATTTACTGAATGGTATTTAATTTTCTTTCGATAAAAGCATAAAATATCTACGTCAATGAAATCATTTAATATTGTTTACTTGAATCTTCCCAGTTGCTCAATCTATTATTATTATTTATTTATTTATTTTAACACAAAGATATTGGTACAAGGAGACACCAAATACATATACGCCACACAAATCTCATTCGATATGTGTGAGGGTTGTGATACTGCCCGGGTGCCTAAACCGAAGCAGATGATTTTCTTAGGGGGCCACTCCCCGAGCCTTCGACCTGAAGGTCTGACCCACAAGGCAGTGGAGCATCGTAAGTAGATGCAGTCCCATGGAAGCCGGTGACCAACAATTGGTTCATACACCATTTGTTCCCTCAGGATACTGGAGCCCATGTGTACCACTGATTTGGTTTGTAATCCGGTTAAAGCGCCGGACATTCGATTTTCGTCCTCTCATTTTCGTAAACAACACCCGTGGTGCGAGAGGGCAATGGGTAGGACTTCCCTGGCAGAGGCTATATACGCGTGGCTATGTGAGAGCATTTGGAGAGGTAGAGCGGACTCTCCCCACTCTCGCCCGTACCAGGACATTTGGAGGCAATCTGTTATTGGCATATATGCATCCTGTGTGGATTGTCTCGATATTACTTTAAGCCACATGTTTTATAAACAAAACTGGATGATGGTTAGTTGTGGAATTTAGGACGTGTGTTTCGTTCTATTTAAGACTCATCAGCTGGAATATACCTGCATCTCAAAATTGATGTTCACTCTGAGACTCAAATCAGTATAAAACGATCCTAAACTCCTTCAATTAGTTAATTTCTAATCAATTTCTACAGTTGAATCAACTATTTATCATTACGTTTAGAATAAATAGTAAGAGTAGAAAAAAGTTACTTACATTCTTTCAGACCGGTTGGCCACTCCGACTCTGAGTGGACGAGCGGTCTAAGGCGCCAGACTCAACAGTGTTCTTCTGGGTGTTCTGGTCCACGATGTGGGCGTGGGTCTGAATCCCACTTTCGACACATACTTTGTGTGGCGCATATATATTTGGTGCCTTCTTTTACCAATATTTATGTGTTAAAATAAAATAAAAACATTCTTTCAGAATTACAGAAATTTCTTATTGTTACATCAAATATAGAAGCACATATTATATATTCCACTCATATCTCTTCTTCTGTTATAATATTTAGAAGATATAGCTTTAATTGTTCAGATAGCTGTTTAAAACAATACAGTTCATTTTTATATTAAGTTTTCCATTAATTTATCATCATAGATGTTTCTTAATATGTTGTTTATGAATTCAATTAGCTTCTTCTTGAAATGTCAGCTTGTCTAACATTACTTTTCGTTTGTAATCATTGAAATGTTTTATTCACTGATTATTATTACAAATGAAACCATCCTCTTCATTACATTTAAATGAATATGATTTGTTCGTTTTTGTTTTTGCTGGGGAAACGATAAATATTTTCATTAGTATGCCAAACATACTATACGTCATAAGCCATTAATCAGTGTTAAGTTAAATTATTAAAAAGCATATTTAACTACAAGGAATATTTATATAAATAGAAGATTTTAAATAAGCAAAGATGGATATTGGCTAGCAGTGGAATCTAGGACGCGCGTTTCGTCCTATTTGGGACTCGTCAGCTGGATGTACCTGCATCTCAGAGTTTATGTTCACTCTGGGATTCGAACTCATTACCATTCGCTTCAAACGCCATTGCGTTATCCACTCAGCTTCTGAGTCCTGATAGTCACTTGTTTGTGTAATGGGTGAATTTGAATTCACTTGGTATTGTTTAACTTTTATCTTCCCATTGATGTTTAAGACTGCGATTTATCAGTCTGTCATTGGCATATGTGCATTTTGTGCTTATACCTTGATATTGCCTTAATTCACAACCCTTTATGAGCAAAAATGGATAGTGGCTAGCTGTGGAATCCAGGACGCGCGTTTCGTTTTATAGAAGATTAAATATGTAAC